CCAGACTCTTGCAGATCATCCTATTACGTGAAATGAGGAGAGGAGGAGAAAGAGAAATATCTGTTCACCTCCGAAAGACAGCCTGCTGTGATACACAGAAGAAAAAACATTCTCAACATTTCTTGCTAGCAAAACCTTGGATCTACAAAGAAAACCAGTTTTTGTTTAAAACTATTGAAATACTGTACCACTTGCCAATACCTGTGTCCACCACTAGTTAGCACACTACAGCTCTTGTAAATAAACTTGGAGGAGCTGGTAAGGTCACTTAAAGTACAGACCGCCCAAAAAAGTTCAGGGAAGTAGGGCTAAATTAGGAGAGAATGAGAGGGGCTAAAAATCAGCTGAGAAATTAACCTTTCAGTTCTTTGAGGGACCTATTTTTGAGCTAGCCTACAGTAAAAATCACTATAGTATTTGTGTTCTATAACTAGATTCATGTACGTACATCTAATTCATAAAAATATGAATTATGTACATGATTAACATTGAAATGACTATATTTAGGCCTACAATGTATCAATGAATGAATGAATGAATGAATGCATGTATCAAGATAAGCAAATGGCAGGTCAACTGGTTCATACAAGGCAACTCTTTTTTTTTATATCATAGATAAGGCATAAGGAGGTGCTTTGTATAGGCCAACAGGTCTTCTGCAGTTCCTTTCTAAATGTTCAAATGATGATTAGTTTATCTGGTATACTTCATTACAACCTTACAGAAACGTGATAACCATATGAACCAGGATACATGTCATGTAATTACAGTGTAGTATAATGGAATTTTATACCATGTCAATTACTGCATTGGTATAGCAACATTTGCAATGGTAACCCACACATGCATAGTAAGGTAATCATGAAAAAAGATTTTTTCATGGGTCAGGGAAAGTTCCATTAATCCTATTATATATATATTAATATCAACATCATTGATGTAAAGCCCACATAATAATAGTTTAAATCAATGAATGATGATCACCCCATTAATTACCGCATGACAATAAGCTGATACTGTTAAAGTAGCACAGCCTTGTATTTAGGCAACGAGGCTTAACCACCTAACTGAGCACCCAGAAATGAGAATTAATACATAGAAGCAAGCAATGCATCCCCAGCAAAGGATGAGATGCCTAAAAAAAAAAAAAAAGGAAAACCTTGTGCCAACAGTAAAGATGCAGCCCATCCAATGCAAATGCTTCCTGATCGAAGAAAGGAGCCATATACACAGCCTGTTTGAGGATTAAAATGCAAACTCAAAGGAGGCTTCGTTACTTCTTTCACAATCAGATGAAGTCGAGAGGTGCAATCAATGAGCACATTTGACACTCAAAATGTAAACCATCATGAGAACTAAAAATTTTATTAGTCAAAACCATGTCACTGTCCACAGTTTAGCACAACTATGCAAAAGAATGAGTAGATTTCCCTCTTTAAAACAATGTAACACTGGAGCTCTGAGTGCAACCAAAGAGCCAAGTCCCATAAGAGAGGTACTGTATATAGAAATATCACATACCTCTTAAACATTGATGCGGGTGCCCACCAATGCTGGGGACCACCATCCCTGTCTTGTATGCAGAGCTGGCAACTACACCCATATACTGCTTTGGAAGTGCTGGTGAATAGCTTGAGCAACAGAACCAGGACACAAAGTAACCCATCCCTAATAATCACGAAGATGAAACTTGCAACACGAGATACTGCAGGGCCACTGACCAGAGAAACCAGTACAGTATATTCAACCACATGCAACATAGAGGAATGATGCAGGGAAAGTACCCTTGCTCTAGAACATGCTTGGGAATCATACAGGTTAAACAAGCTAACATGGCCTACTGCAGGGAGAGGAACATTGACCTTATGTTCCAAAGCAACCTGAACCACTGAAGGCTTTTTGACAGAACAAACCGAGGCTTGGGCTTATTGCTGATGAATCCAAACCAGATCAACTTACACAATACCATATATTTCACCAGTAGACATACTTAATGCCTGGCAATGCCTGGCATTAAGGTGGGCCAAAACACACAACTCCAAGAAATGATGCTTTTGAAGAGCTACTCTGGTATGCTTGGTATATGTTCAAAGAGCCAAATTGAGCAGGAAAGTAGTATGATGTAGACTGTCCCCAGCAAATTCCTGAACCTTTGATGAACAGGGATGTGCCAATATCCCAAGCACATCCCTGTTCATCAGGGATGAAGTCCAGGAAAGTGAGCCAAGAAAGGAATGACACCACCTGGCAAACCATGGACACTGTAGTGATCTAGAATAATGTAATATTTCAATAGTAGCAGAGGTTAATTGGTTTTCTTTGTGAACCCAAAAAATGAGAGAGTTTTAATTGTCTACTATGTGCTGCAGCCATCTGTCTTTCCTTCCATAATTTACATGGCAGGATGACTTACAAAGCTACCCCATCATCAAAAGGGAGCTGATCAACACAGCCTTGTGAGATTTATCTTTGGGCGGACCATATTACCGGACGTCTTGTGAAGCAAACAGAGGGCTAGCTCTATTAACTCTTACATATGCTGTGCTGGCTGCATTTTCTTGTACATATAACTAATAAACGTGCAGTATACTGTATATGTCTACTGATCTGACTTATCAGTAAATTCATAAAATTTAATTCTTTAATGTCCACTTTATCAACATATAAAAATGTGAGAAAAATACTAAATGTTTTGATAGGACATACTACAGCCTATAGTTACACTTGTTCCATCACTGCAATGCTCTAAGCCATCACATAACTGCTAGTTAAGGATGCATGTCCAATCACCACCCCATTAATTAAACTTTTCTCAAGGCATCAAGTTGAACAAAGCAAGCACTAAGTCTAAAGTTAGAATAATATTATGCAACAAAACTACAATAGTGTTATATATACAATAAATGTAAAAATTATTAATCCATGATAAAATAATGCATGTAATATGCATTTACCATAGTACTGCAATATGTATAATTTATGTCACACTAAACATTGCTCTAATGCATAACAAACTCTGTTAAATATTTTAACAAAGACCAAGCAATCAATTCAATATCACCATTGTCAAATTTTGGAATTAATGTTTAAATGCTATGTTTTCTATGGTGTCATGGTTTCCACAACAGCATTTTTTTGGTATAGTGTCATTTAATACATGTGTCTGTAATGATGAAAAGTGTATTGCGAGGTTCAAATTAATCTCGCACTAAATTATGCAAGACAAAAAGGAACAAAAACAATTAATTTAATTGTTTACAATATATACAAACCCTTATTTACATTAAATACCATTTGATACTGCTTATTCTTGTAACTAAATAAATGTTTACTTAAAAAAAAATGGGGGGAAGAGTATTGCCATCTCACCCAGAAGCAATACTCCACAACAAATGTACATCAGACTGGAGTGGAAGATATGTTAGGAGGTGTAGAAAACACCAATACAATAGGTTTGTCATGAGCACTGAGAGAGAACACCGTGTAAACATCAGAGGTACACAACTCTTCAACCTCTTACCAATAAATATAAAAATTATCATTGGAACAAAGACTGAATCATTATGAAGGGAATCTGACAAGCTCCTGCAAGAGTTGTCGAATCAGCCAAGTTGTGATGGCTATGTGGGTCTGCAGGGAGCAGATGCAAATAGTCTCATTGACCAGGCAACCTCATGGGAAGGCCAGGCCGAGTTCTCAGAGTAGGAAACACCCTCAAAATGGACCATAGGTAAACCATAGGCAGTATTTGGAAAAGTTCTGCATAAATTATGCTCTTTTATACTATACATGTGACTTCCAACTCTTAATTCTGTAAAACTGAGGCAACAGAATTACAAGATATGTTGACCACACTCAATCAAAGCAGGTATCCTCTCCATATGCCAGGTATATCTAACAATACAAACAATATTATGAATGTTCTTGAAAACATACATGACCCCCTCTTATATCTCACCAAAATTATGTTCAGTGCTTATATGTACATATTAAAACATGAACAAAGAGGGAGTGAATGAGTGGGGGACAGGTTTTTGGGTAGGAGAGGGAGGATGGAGTGGAGGAGTATAATCCATATGGTTGGTACGGGGTTAGACGAGTGTCATTAGGGAAGAATGCATGTGGTGAGAGTGTGGGGGGCAGGTGAGAGTGTGGGGGGCAGGTGAGAGTGTGGGGGGCAGGTGGGAGTGTAGGGGACAGGTGGGAGTGTTGGGGGACAGGTGGTTGATGTATACCAGTAAGGTGGAGTAGCTGGAAGTTGAGTGAGCATGGAGTGGGTATATAGTGATAAGTCACTGATACAATATAGTCTTTGAAGATGTTGGCTTAGCAAAATCTTTAAGTGATGAAATGTGGAAGGACTATGAGGGTGATGTGCTGGTAGATGGAGAAATTACAAAGGAAGGGCGGAAGGTGTATTGGATAAGATGGTGAGAAGGCATAAGTTGGCAAATGAAACGGTTAGACTGCCTCAGTGGTGATAAACTTCCATGAGCTCTTCCATGAGCTTCCACTTGAAAATAATATATTTCAGAACTAAAACTCACCTTACCACTGTCACCATTATTGAAATGTAAGAAAATAAGATCTTCGGGTGTATATTTGTCTTTAAAATACTGTTTTGGTGGCAAACTAAATAAAAATTACAATAGTCATCATCAAAACACATTACAGTTACCATTTCCTATAATAACTGTAAAACAATACAGTACTGCACTTGGTTTTGCTTTCTTGTCATGAATCACTCAAAAGGTTTCACTGGACAAACAAAAAGCATACTAATATTACATTACTCATGAATTGAATTCATGAATATTATACAACACAGTTCCACATTAGTGATTCCTTAAAAAAAACTCTTATATTCCCTCAATTTTGTACAGCAACCAAGCACAAAAAATCACAATACTGTACTATTATAGGACTATTAGAAGAATTTTTCCCATTAACTGCTGTAGTTATAATACAGCCTATTACTGACTGATCCGCCCAATACTTACGACACTTTCGTTCATCAGAGTTATCAGTTTGACAATCTTGTTTTCCATCACAACGTAGCCTACGGTCAATACACTGACCATAGTCACACTGCCATTCCAATATTGGATTGCATGCTGAGGTTAATAGAAAAGTGATGTTTATTAGTATTAGTGTTATTATGATAAAATAGAAAGGTTTCTCTACAGTTTAGGTATTTTCATGCATTTCACTATCATACGTAAGACCAGGATACTACTACAGAAGTTAGTGTTCCAGCTGACCAGCTAATGGTTAAAATATTTAAGAAAAAACACTTAAAAATAGCTGGTAAAAAGATCTTATCTGGGAGAAAACTAAGAAGATCCAAAGAGCAATGTAAATAAAATGCTTCGCATAAGTGATAAAAACTAATTAAGAGATATTACTATAGACAATTGTTCCTTAATGTATTACCTTCTGTGATTGGTATTCGGCAAGAAAGGATAATATAATCTCTGCCCTAAGAGAAGGCATATTAGTGTTAGTATAAGCATTTACACCTGTGTGACAATTTAATAGTATTTTGGATTAATTGTACATTTTACATCCTCTGTGTACAATAACTTGATTGTTAACAATAATTATGAATGAAACGGCTTTTCTTATCTACTTTTCAAATACACTATACATAACATGAAAGGTCGAATGATTAAAGCAGGCTTTCTACAAACCAAATTATTGACTGACATTATTACTGTTATGACTTGCATTAAGCATTTAAAAACTGACATGTGAATACTGTGAAATAAATTTGTTAACCCTTTTAATAAATTCAATAAATTCACATTAAAACAAACTTGTTGCTTATCTGCACTAAAATTAATTTACAGTATGAAAGGGAAAAATATGCAGTACAAAATATTAAGAAACGAGGGACAATACACATTAATAGACCAGATATATACAAAATGTAAGTCAAAATTATTTAATAATTTACAATTCTGCAGGAACCCCACATTGCAATATTGTATAAAGCAAAACTGGAGCAAAGCAAGTTACTAATAAAACGATAGAATTTAATGATATATATATAACCCTATTTTTTCAGATACATCTTATACATATTAATTACACAAACAAGAAACCATGAACCATTCTGCAAATGTACAGTATGTCTACATACTGTATATAAATGCACACCATGAGGCTGCATTAAAAAAAAATGAAACATGGAATGTAATAAGATGCCCATTTCTGGGTTGTCTCTCAGCAGGTGACCTCAGCTTTCATTACCGGTAGAGCCAGGACACCAAACAGCATCAGGCCTCTGGTGACAATCTTTGCACACCAAGGATACCTTTTCCAGTGCACATTTTCCCTCCACATGATGCAGAGCTTGTTGGGATCAGAGATTAACCAACAACCGAGATGAAAGAGATGTAACAAAACATAGCCTTCCTTCACAACATGTTTGAAAATATGTAATCACCTTGTAATTATCTACTCAATCCCTCACCAATCTGTCTACTCTGCCATTAGGTGGTGGCATGAGACACCCAAAGGGGTGGCACACAGTCCCTGGTGACAGTGTTAACACACTTGCCCAGTGCCTCAAAAGCAATTTAATGTGGGTTAAAGTCCTTGCCAGTGAGGATTGAGTGGGTGTCAATCCTTAACTGTTTACCCCTGTTCACCCAGTAGTAATTGGTTACCTGGTTGTTAACCAACTGGAAGATTGTGCTCCAGAAAAAACTAGTGGGTAAAGCTTACCCTGAGTTAAGAGAAGGGAGAGCTCTCAGCCTGCTAACAGTAGTCAGAGGTCATCTGTTCCTGTACCCACCTGTGTATGTGTATGCATGCATGTATGCATGCATGTATTTCAATAGGTTACCCTGATACTGCTCATGGGAAGCACAGATTTTTTTTTTTTTTTTCTTTGCATGTCTAAAAGGAAGGCAAGCTGAATCCCCAACCCATTTTGTCCCAATTGGTAAAAAAAAGCAAAAGAGGCTGTTACCCAGCACAGTAAATATTCCATAAACCCATAAATATGGCCAGCTGTGAGATGAAAATACTGAGAGGCCAGGGCCAGAACACAAACAACAGTTAAGAGACCAGTAGAACAGGAGCATCAAAGACGTCACCTTGCCAAAGAGTTTGATTTCGGGGATGACTCGCCCACCAAAATAAGAGGGAAGACATTTAAGTATGTCTCAATGCCTCTGGTGTGGGCTGCATCCCAGAAAAGGTTAGTCACTGGCCTAGGGAAACCTTGAAAACTTAACAGACTTCCTGTTTCCAACAATAAGAAAGCATATACAAAATGATACGAGGCAGGAAAGACCATGAAGGCAAATATCTCAGCAGACTCCTGGTAAACATCTCTTGGGCAGACAGCTGCCGCTGATGTGGAAATAAAAGCAGGCAATATGCTCAAACTATGCCAGCTGAGTCCATTCAGAGTGGCTTCCTGTCCTAGTCATGGCCACTGCAGTGTGGCCCTTAGGTATCTATGTATGTACATGAGATGTCCCAAATAATGAGGAACCTTTTTAAAATGGAATGAGGGTAGAAGAGGCCATCATGAGGCACAGTCTTTCTGCTTAAATTGCAATGGAAATCATGAAAAACTTCTACTAGACGAGTACATGTTCCTGATAGGACAACAGTCGATTTCCCACTGAATGTGTCTTCTCAATATTAATTTGTGCTGGATTGAATTTCTTTTTAAGCTTGAAAAGATACTTTTATGCTGGTGTCAAATATTGACCTACTCTGACTGGGAACATCAGAATCTTGTCTAAGAGAACAACCAAATGATACAGCTCAGAAACAAAAAATAAAAATACTTCCAACAGCCTAAGCTACAGAGAAGCTTTTGTAGCCAAAGAAACAAAGATTACTACTGAACTTTCCTACCTATATTTTTAAACAAGAAAAAATTCTCATACTTCAAGATGTGCTACTATGACATGATTTGACTAAGGTAATACTTTAATACAAAGAAAATGGCTACATATCTAACAATGTGCCTAAAATGAATACCCAAAAGTGCAGAACAATACATCAGATCCATCACTATTCAAGAGAAAACTGGACTGTTTTCTAAGAGAAGTTCCGGATCAGCTGGGCTGTGGTGGGTATGTGGGCCTGCGGGCCGCTCCAAGCAACAGCCTGGTGGACCAAACTCTCACAAGTCAAGCCTGGCCTTAGGCCGGGCTTGGGAAGTAGAAGAACTCCCAGAACCCCATCAAGCAGGTACAGTGTCTTTGACCATTGCATACAAGGTAGTTTGGAATACAGACACTCTCTGCACTGGAACTCATTCCCATGGCATGTAGCTAAGATATAAGCTGATATTAACATTCAATAATACCATAAGTCATAGACTGTTAAGCAAAACATGTTTTAATTATCATTTGCTAATAAGAGTAATAAATATGTGCACAAGCTAAAAAAAATTAGAAAAGCAGTTACCTTGACTACACACTATAACCACCATGCAATATTCATTTATCTATGGATCAGTTTAGGAAAGATTAGAATTGAATATATTACAAGTTTAGCCTAAAGCAAAGTCTTCCTCTTCCTAGAAAAGAGATACAAATTAATTCAATTGAGACATGTCAGCTTAAAGCCCAATTTTACTTCTACTTAAAGGCCAATTTTACCCATAATCTTAACACACATGCTAGAATGCTACATATAATTTATTGAACAATGTCACAAAAATGTGGGTGGCTGAGATTTTTTTGACAAAACCACATACTAGAAGATGAAGAAACGACGACATTTCGGTCTGTCTTGGAACACAATCAACTTGATAGTGGTCCAGGACAGACCGAAAAGTTGGCATCTCTTTATCTTCTAGTGTGTGGTTTGATCAATATTTCTTCAATCACGTTTTTGTGACTTTTCAACTGCACATGTAATTAATATATATGTATAATTATATATTATATACAATATATTATATATATAACATATATAATATATATTATATACAATATATTATATATATAATTTATATATAATATATATTATATAATATATATACAGTACATATATAATATATATAAGGACCATCATATTTGTGTTGAAAGTTCAAGAGTCAATATGCTTGCGTGTTTCCAGACATTGCATGGAAATTAGGGAAAAATGAATCTTGAGAAAACTACAATATATTCCCATTAGATATACAGTACCTAATATAAGGTAGACTGAAAAAAGTCATAGACTCACGGGGCAAAGGACAATGCCTTTCATCAGAGCCATCGCGGCAGTATGGTCTCCCATCACACACCAAGTAGAAGGGGATGCAAGTGTTATCATCACTGCAGGAAAACTCACCAGGCATGCAAGCAGCTACAGACATAAGCAAGGCATTTAGTAGTAAAAACTAAATATATGCATTGGAAACAACACTCGGTGACTTAAATATTCAAGAAAACGTGTTTTAATTTTATAGCTACATACAGTATATCAAGTTTTGGAAGACTATTTATATATAGTAGTAGGAAAATTAAGCTTCTAGTGAGAATGGTACGATATTGTGTTATCTGCAAAACTGCATTTAATGAGAATTAATGAGAAAAATACTGTTAAACTTATCTAAATGAGCTTTTATATTCAATATATGAATCTGTTTAACATTGACTTGAGTACAATGTGGTCAACTCTACGAATACTCTCATTTGTGATTCTGGGGAAATTACACTTCAAGCTGAGCACAGTAAATTACTGAAATATATGAGAATCAGTTGTTAATCCTAATCAGTTAAGCAACATCAATAAGCAATGATTTTAAAATGAGCACCCAAAATTAAAATAGTTGGACTGTACAAGAATTCCCTGAAGCTTCATGTATCCTGGATAACCCCACCAGAAAACATGGCTGTGACAGAAATTTGTTAAGACAGTCTAATCTAAAAATGCCTTTTCTCCTTTGTTCTTTTGTCTTCAAGTCTTCTCGCAAATTCGTAAAGTCAATATTGACCTCGCCTAATGTGTTCACTTACCTAACCTTGTTAGTATCCATCTTATTGCTTCGTATTACACTTCCTACTACAAGAAGCTCACTCACACTCCCTCAATCTTAATTTGTATACTTCACCACATATACATCCCAGAAATCCTGTGTACTCCTCCACTTCCCACTACAAGAAGCTCACTCACAATCCCTCAATCTTAATTTGTATACTTCACCACTGCACATCCTCCTTACAATTCTATCACTCCAAAGTCACCAATATTCAACTCTCCAATATCTAAATGACTGTAAACTATTTTCCTTAATTCATTTCTCTAAAACAAGATGTATGCCTGCCAACCTTTGCCATACTACAGCTTCCAAACACTTCCATATTAGTGTACAGTACTTGACATCCACAATTACTAATTCAAAAAGATCAATAAGTTTTCTGAAAATTTTACTTAAAAGCCTGAGTTTTTTAATTAGAAAACACACACTATATTTCTCATACGTCTAATCTATTGCTTTATCTCCACCACATTTAAAGTCATTGCTCTTATTTAGTCAACCCCTGGAGTTGTTCTTTGATTTAAAAAATATTGTTAATCACAAACTCTTGTTAACCTTAAATTTGCCGTCAGTCACGTGTTGTTCGACCAGCATAAAGAAGTCTCCATGCACTGATTAGACTGTGCAATGTGCTCATTATCTTATGATGATTTATGTTTTTTGTTGCTGTGCAAATACTGTTGGTGCCCCATATGGTTCCAACAGCTCAAATGATCTCTCCCAGCATTGTAGTGAAACATGCTTCAGCTCCTGGTATCTCTACATCAAATATTGATTGATGCACTTAAAACAAAGATCTTCACAGTAATTATTTACTTGTATTTTTGTTTTATTTTAGTTATTTTTACATAAAGAGTTTTAAATATGTTTCAAATACATACAGTACAATTTTTGGTCCTGGCTCCCATCACAATGGCTTTAATGCCATAAGTAATGTTGACCATTCCTTATGGCATTGAAGGAAGAGAACAATATTCTCCTCTTCTAGGCTGAGGGTCCCAACAAACACAACCAGAGCTGGTACCCCACATTATTAATTTAATAAATAAAATAAAATAAATAAATAAATAAATAAATAAATGCAGGAGTGGTGTGATTGAAGGTAATAATGGAAACTGGGGTAGAGGTATCAATGATAAAATTGATAATGGTACACAATGAATTCACATTAATGTGATGTAACAATGAGAAAATCTGTAGGAGCAGATGAGGAGGATTCAAACCTGCTCACTTGGTACTCCCAAGCTAGCGCCCTAGACCACGACACCACAATATGGTAAAAGCAATGCAACCCGAGATTCCAAAGAAACCTTTTGGATTCCCGAGGCTTAGAATTGAACAGAATAGAATGGAATACAACCTAAGTGAAATCCCAAGTTGCATTTCTTTTACAATGTCATGTTATGGTGGTCAAAGGGGAGTTGGAATTATTAAGCTATAACTTTCATTATACTAAGCTTGGGGGGTACCAAGTGAGCAGGTTTGAATCCTCCTTATGGATCCTTCTGATTTTCTCATTGATAATGGTAATAATAACAATGTGTAAGCAGTGCTGGTATGAGGTGTATTCTGAAACTACTATACATTTTTAATTCTATTGCTGGATATAGTTTGGGAAAAAATAATTGTAGTGTGTATTTATTAGCACTTTTCAAGCAGATACTTTAAGTTTGGCAACATAGTTCATCAAAGATTACATGAATAGGAAGAAGAAAATGCCATGTAATATAGATAGAAAATGGGTAACAGCAATGGTTGTGAGGCAGACTGAATAATGGGTTACAGGAGGCCAACAATTTGCATGATACTGGATTATCGGGTAAGGGCTACACAGCTAAGTACATTTATACATAGTTTTGAAGTAAAGTATGAAGTATGCATTTGAATTTTGGAGTTACACAAGTTGAGAACATTTTAACGTGGAATTGTACAGATAAGCTGCACTAATCCCTGGGTGTACAGTGTTCTTGTAGTCTTGCAGGCACCTACATCTAGAATTATTGTGCTCTGCAAATGTTTTGGGTTATACTGATGTATGAGTGCACATCTCAAGCATTCTGGACTTATCCAGAACCGCACTACTATTCAAGGTCCAATTTGCCTAACAGGCAAAATGATTTTCGTTATTTTCAAATATTAATTTCTATATAGATTACTACTGTACTATTGTTAGGAAAGAAACAATTATATTAGGAACGCAAATTACTGACATAGTATATATGCCGGCATACAAATCGACATCTGAAGCCTAAAAATCTCTTTCCAAAACCAGTGGTCTACTTTTCTGCAGAATATAAAAATGAACCTTTACCACTGTGATATAAACAAGTGAAAGGCCAGGCCTAACACCTATTGAACGCCACTTGCCATAACTCTCACTGTCCGTCACAATTATTTCCTACTGAAACTCATGTTTGATAAGTCTATTTAACGTATTTAACTGGTATTTACTGTAAGTATTACATATCATCCACTAAGAGTATTAGAAAACATAGCCCTGCAAACTCATCATTTACAACAGCTGATCGGCGTACCAGCAGCGCCACCAACGTCAAGCAGCCAAGCATTATTATGTTGAACAATGGGTTCGTGGGGAAAACTGGTACTGTATTAATATTACCATTCTAAATTACCAATATTTCTGAAATAAGCTTTTAATACCATTGTGTTCCTACTACATAATGCATGTTTATTTGGGTAGCCTATGAGTGATATCAACAAAAGAAACTTGAACAATAGTTTAGCAGAGGCAAGAGGTTAACATGGCTGTTGAAAGAACTAATTCTAGTACCTTAAACCCATGCGGTAAATATTCGTTAAGCTGCCATATATTTATGAGATACTATAGTTTTTCTTTCCATACAGTAGGGCAGAGGACGTGTTGCCAACCTTATTTTAAGGGTTCTCGTATCCAGTTAATATACGCCTAAACCTGAATTCCACCTCAAAATTTCAGGAGTCGACCTATGCGCCAGATCTACTTGTACGCCAGCAATATGGTAGTTTATGTAATCTTAGGTTATGTTATGTTATGTTAGGATAGGTAGGTTAAGTTAGTTTTGATCAAATTTCTATGTTAGTTTTAAATCAAAGTAAAACAAAAATTACAATCCTATGTAATGTAATGGAAAGCTGTATCATTCCATAATAAAAAAAATTATTTCCTCAGCAAATCACGGGCCACCTGTATTATTACATAGGGAAGTAGATACAATACTGCCAAGAAATAGATATAAATAGAAAGCATAACATTACATTACACCTGAATTGCACTTTCCTAGCTTAACACTTGGTTAATTTCCAAAGACACCTAATGTAAATGTGAATTGCAGAGATTTTTAAGAACCTCTAAGAAAAAATAAGGTATGTTACAAGACCAAGAAATATATTAATATTTAAAAAATTAATAATTCCAAATACTGTTTAAGTTCCAGAGACTAGAAACAAAATAAAGTGATGTCAGAAGTGGTATCCTGACTGAGCAAAATTATAAATATTTTCACAATTTGAATCCTTATTTATGAAAATTTCTATTAATGTGATTATTTATGGATAAAGTTTTTAAGTAAATTTGATCAACAATGTCACGTTAACTCTATCATGTAAATGCAGAACTAGATATTTACCCCATAGTAATTTAACAGCTTAAATTTCTACTGCATACAAAGGTATCAATATAATTGTTTTGACATTATAGTTCTCACTAATCCCTAACCAGCAACATGGAGAATTCGCACGAATATACTCCATCAGCTCATCCACCAAGAGCATCTCGCTGCTTCATACAAGCCTTCATGTACTGTGATTTTTACAATTTGTTACCGAGAAACAAAACACTTCCTGATTCACAAACTGCTGCCACTTAGTTTTGTTCTCTACAACTTCCAGTGCATAGTTAATACTTCATCTCAACTTTTTTATATTTTCCCTCTCAACATGTCATCCCATTTTCTCAACTTCGTTCTCATTCTCCTACCCTTAAAATTATTAGCAATTTTACTAAATTTTTTATTACTTTTATATCAGCATTTCTTGATCATATTCTTATGTTCTCTCATTCGGTTTGAAACGGGCAATAAGACTTTATTACCTTTCTCTAACACTGTCATTATTTTTTAACTTATCATGTTCTCATATTTTTATATTCCACGAAAGGAAGCTTTTATAATTAAAATATCTCTTCATATTCCAACTGTTCAAGTTCCAGGATACAATTCTTTGTATGCATTTGAAATCTCTCTAGCTTAGCTACATTCCTTTTTAAATGCGAGTACCACATTACTAATCATTTTCTTCAAGTCTGATAGCCTTCCTCTGTTACCCC